AAAAAGAGCTATAAATTGAAGAGGTCAAAATCAAGCAAGTTCATAAATTTAAATATCTCGGAATTGCTTTAACGGTGGACGGAAAAAGTGACACCGAAATCCGAAGACGCATTAGAGTAGTGAAACATGCCTTCCCGAAGCTAAGCAAAGTACAGGGTGTACCATAATGACGGGACATATTTTAAATGCAAGAATCTTAGAATATAAATATAACATAGAGTACCAAATATATTCGTTAAATAACTGATATATAAGATATAAATAATCTAAGAATTGTATATTATATTCCTATCATGGTCACTATCACGAAGAAAACATGCAAGCTCCCTCATTTCAAACACAGTGTGGCTTAGCATATCAACTAGAATGCATGCGATCTCTCTACGGTTGCTTTGTTTTAGTTCAAGAAGCATTTAACAATATAAACTTTCAATTCCTGTTGATATGCTAATTCGCACCTTGCTTGAAATGAGGCAGGATGTAATATTCAAATCTTAGATGATAGGTTCAACTCTTGCATATCTGTTATTGAATGAATTCCTCTGTCATTTTTATAATTCAAGATGCTTGTATCTAAAATGTATCCCATTACTGTGCGACAATCTGTATCAGGAAGCAGGAAAATTTCGTTACAAAAATGTGTTGAATAGTCATCGAATATCGTTCCTCGTATATGACAATGAATGTTAGAAGTTTTTTTTCTCTCTCTACAGATGAAGAAGATAATTGAGATGCCCCAGAGAAGTATGCTGAGAATAACATGGACGGACAATGTGAGCAATGGGGAAGTTTTAAAGAAAAGGATTTCAAAAACATATACTTGTACTTAGAATCAGAAATATCAGACAGCTGAAATTTCTGAGGCACATAATGAGGAAAGTGGTCTAGGAGACTTTAACGCTTTCAATACTTAATAAAGGCAAGGGTGGGGGTCAGCCGGTAAACAACCTAGCGAACTTCCAGAACAAAGAATGTGATGGATACGATAGTTAATTTTGTGATACGTAGGTGAGGATGCTGTGGAGAACTATGTTCGTTGATCGTGATCAGCTGAGTCTAATCTGACCCGATTACATTGATCAGAAATATTTCTTCTTGGTCTGCTTTTTGTCCCTAAATCTTTCCGTGCATATTGATCAAAACACAGCACGCGTTCTGTCAGTTGGATCATGAATGATTTCCTACTCCCGAGAACGTGGTCCTCTGATTCTAATCTGACTCGGGTCGATTGATCAAACACAGCGAGCTCCTGGATGCAAGCGCGAGGAAGTCGAGTATGTGATGGCGTCACTCTATAAACAAGTGAACAAATAGAAATTGGTTTCAAAAAATATACTTGTACTTAGAATCAGAAATATCAGACAGCTGAAATTTCTGCGGCGCATAATGAGGAAAGTGGGCTAGGAGACATTAACACTATCAGGACTTAATAAAGACAAGGGGGTCAGCGGGTAAACAACCTAGCAAACTTGTGTGAATGGATTCCAGAACAAGGAATGTGATAGATACGATAGTTAATTTTGTGATACGAAGGTGAGGATGCTGTGGAGAACTATGATCGCTCACGTCTTCGTATATCTCTTACAGATTTCCATTCAGTTATCGCGAGGCATTTGTGAGAAATATTCACAGCGCATAGCAATTAAACAAATATGAAGAAAGTAAAAGAAAATTGTGTCGGTTTTTGTATTGCTAATATGACTAACCCAGTAGGCCTTATGATCAGGGATCCTATAAAATCTAAAGAAGCGTTATACTGAACAGCTGTGTGTGCATCTGATATCCTTGAATGTGAATGCGATTGGATCTTGGTTTGCTTGTCTGTCATTACTGATAATTGTAGGCATAAGACACTGGTCACGATCATTAAGGGCCAATGGTCTGCCATTGCTCTGCCTACAACGAGTAGCAATGTCTTCCATCAGGTATTACTAGTAAATATTAACACCGGAGATGGACGGCTATGAAACGCATCATTTCAGAAATGAAACGGCCTATTTATTCGTCACAGTTCTCCCGTCCAGTTCGAATCTCGATAACACACTACGCTTTGTCATGAGCTAACCCACTCAACAAAGAAGTACAGTTGATTTTCATGGATCCCGAGTACTTTGTTACACATCTTATATATCTGTGGCCTACATCAATGCATTATTCTAGCAGAAGAGTTCACTCTGTTATCGGGACCAAATTACCCCAGAAGCATATTCTGAAAACGTTTACAAAAGAATTGAACACCATATACCCCTTGACACGAGTGTTTCTCAGAAGTAGGTGTGACATCCATTCATATATCAGAGCCATGACCTATAACTATCAGGCAGTTGTAGAGAGTTATTGAAACGGCATGAGCAAACATCTCTCCCGAGGTCTTCGGACCACTTGTTTAAACGATGATTAGTAGCTGCACGTCGCCGAAGCTAAAGACGCCTACACGATACTATATACATATTCTATGACTTTCAGCCCGTCTCTGTATATTATTGCATAAAATAAAGTTTTTGCATGTCACGCAATATTTAGAAATATCTCCTATCTTTATTCTATGAAAAATTGATCACATCCTCTGCCGCATGCTTCCCCGGAAAATAAGATTGCTTTTTTGTTTTCTACGTTTATATAAAATAGAGATAGGGAGAATTTTTTTGCGTAGGAAGCAAGTTATTAATTTTCGGCGGTGTTATGTCTGGCACACCATTCTATATTTAAAAGATTTACAACATATTTTGAATTAATGTTTTTCTTTTCTCAGAATGTTGAGTAACCAATTGTCTGTTGTTTAATAAATCGATGTCCAACTTTGCATTGGTATTATTACTTATTTAATGGTTTGAGTGGCAATAACATTAAAAGTGATTCACATATTTATGGGCGAAACTCGTATGGAAATCTTTGTATCAAAACGATTTATAAATAAGTAGTTGTTTATTCATACAAGTAAAAACTGACTCTAAGGAATTAGGGGGCTTTGTTTGCAGGTAAGGAAACGGAAAAAAAAATCACGCGGGAAAGGCATAAGAATCGAAAAACGAAGGAAAGAAAAGAAGTGAGAACAAATGAAAAATAATGAAAGCAATAAGGGAAATAAATGAAAAAGAGAAAATAATCCCGAAAGAAAGAAAAATGAATCGAGAAAGAAAGAAACTGATAGCAAAAAAATAAAATAAAATAAAAAAAATAAAATAAAAAAAAAAGAAAAAAAGAAGAAAAAAAAAACAAAGAAGAAAGTAAAAAAAGCAAGAATAAAAGAGAAAAGTTTTTTTACAATGAAGTTTACACTGAACAAGGCTCAAAAGCCACTCGAGGTAGAGGGTTACATAGTAAGGGACAGTTTATACGCATGTCGGGGAACACTTGAACAGGTTAAGATTGTATCGATCGGGGAAGCATCCTCATGGGAGTCGGTTTCACAAAACAGCAGTTTGTAGGAAGAGGCTGCTCGAGTGGAACTTACGTGTCACCAATGGAAGACGAAGGGAATGAGGCTAGTTCGCTGCAATGTGCGTGGCATGGCGGGTCCCAGCCGTGAAGGTTACGACTGGTCGAATTAAGGAATGTAGTTCGTCTGAACACTTTCCATGGAAATAGCGATAGAGCAGCGAGTGGCTTGCGACATTTCGTCTGTGAGAAAAGGGGGGTGCAGAGGGGAAAATATTTCGTCACTCACAAGAGCGCAGAGGAGCTTTTAGACTCTATCGAGACAAGGAAGTTAAGACTGGACAGATCCTGCTCATATATGGCTGTAGTACTCCATTTTCAGATTGACTTGTCTCTTGAAAATATAGGGGATAGCAGGAGGTGCCAGGTACTTACTGGAGTGGTAAAGGTAATCGTCCATTTTTCCAGGATCTTTAGCAGTGGATCGTATGTAAAATTTACACTTGAAGTGTCGGTTGAATATGTTCCAATAGGCGGTCAAGTCACGTTCATCGCGATTGTTGAAAGTTATGGGCCCGACCGGCGATGATTGAATGTCACTTATTTGGTTTACGAAGTATTGAATATGACCACCAAATTTTACCTCCAAGTGAAGTTTAGGTGTTCTTTGCGTTTTCATTTCTGTTTCTGCTCTCAACACTGTGTTACCTGCAGATCTTTGCGGTCGCAAATGATAAATCATCGTCGATGTTCAAGTCCTCTCAAGATCTGAAAAGGTTGAATAAGTTTGGTAAAAAGGCATATTAGTCATTTACGTCACTTTTTATTTTTTGTGCATTTACAGAATTCATGCGATGCGTTGTAAGAAAGAAAGGAGAAGAAAGTAAACGAGAAAGAAATAGAACAAAAAGAAGCAAGAAAGAAAGAAAAGGAAACAATTGTAGTCCAACTTAAAGTTTCATGGTTTCAGAGGAGAGATCGGCTGCCAAGCTCTGGTCATCTAGACTTTGGGAGGCGCGCCCATATACCGTTGTGTCATCAGTGTAGATATTCCCAAATGATCAGAGTACACTCTTCCGCAGAGCATTTATGTAAAATAGAAAGAGGGTTAGACGGAAGTGAAACCTGGTGGACGCCTGCGTTGATCGCCTGGACTTCGGAGGACTGGTTGTTAAAAGGCGTTAGAAAGAGCTTCATAATTAAGAAGACTCTTCCAGTGATTCTATAACTAGAGAGCATGTGCGGTAACCCTCTATGTCACACTTTGTGAAATCTCTGATATGATCGTCCTTGCGATGTAATTGTTGTGAGAAAGAAAGCGACAAATAGAACAAAAAGAAGCGAGAAAGAAAGAAAAAGGAAACAAGAAGAAAAAACGAGAAGGAAAGGAGGAAATAAACGAGAATGGAAGAAGAAGAAAAGAAACAAGAAATAAAGAAGGGAAAGAAGTAAGAAAGAAAGCAAGTACGAAGGTAAAAGTGAGAATAACGGATAACAAACAAAAAAAAAGGAAAGAAAGAAAGAAGAAGAAAGTAAACGAGAAAGAAATAGAAAGTGCAAAAGAAAGAAAACAGAAATTAAGTGAGAAAGAATGGAAAAGAAGAGCGGGAAGAATTAGAAAATCAAGAAGCAAGAAATCCAGAGAGAGAGAGAGAGAGCGAGAGAGAGAGAGAGAGAGAGAGAGAGAGAGAGAAAGAAAGAAAGAAAGAAAGAAAGAAAGGTGAGCAAGAAAGGCAAGGGAAGAAAGCAAATGAGCAAGAAAAAAAATTAAGCCCGAAAGAGAGAAAAAGAAGTGAGAAAGAAAGAGTAAAGGTGCGAGAAAAGAAAAGAAAAAAGGAATGCAAAAAATAAAAAGAGGGCGAGAAGTGAAAGAGAGGAAAAGAAGTGGGAAAGTGCAACTGAGATGGAACAAATACATTGAGTCAATTGTTTCGTCCACCGCGAGGAAAGTTGGCTCTCTGTGCCGCGTCAGGAAATTTTTCTCCCCGGAATCGATACTTCAAATATACAAATCAACTATTCGCTCTTGCATGGAGTATTGCTGCTATATATGGTCTGGGGCACCTTCTGTTTACCTCGGAGTTCTTGACAAGATCCAGAGGCGGATATGTAATATAATTGGCCCTGATCTGGCATCTCGTCTACAGTTGCTCTCTCACAGACGCGCCGTCGCCTCTCTCTGTCTTTTCTACAAATACTTTCATGGTAATTGTTCCGATGAGCTGCTTTCACTGGTTCCCAGACTTCATGAATTCAAGCGCCCTACGAGGCTGGCATCCCGCTCCCACCCTTACGTTGTAGAACCTTTTAAATGTAGCTGTCTCTTCTACTCCAATAGCTTCATACCTCGCACCTCTCGGCTGTGGAACACCCTTCCCAATTACTGTTTCCCTGAGAGCTATAATCTCCAACTATTTAAATGTAATGTCAATCGACATCTCCAGTTACCTTGATCTACCCACTATCCTTCTCCTCATCCTTTCTTCTATCACTCCTATCTGTTCTTGCTCCAAATATTCTGCAACCCCCCTGCATCCTAGTGACTTCACGTCTTGCTCGGGGCGTAATGCTTAAAAAAAATAAAAAAAAGAAGAAAGAAAGAAAGAAAAGTAAGCAAGCAAGAAAAAGAAAGAAAGAAAGAAAGGCAAGAAAAAGAAATGAAAAGAAAGAAAGAAAGAAAGAAAGAAAGAAAGAAAGAAAGAAAGAAAGAAAGAAAATTAAGAGAAAATTCAGAAAAAGAATGCGACCAAGAAAGTCAGGGGAAGAAATCAAACGAGAAAGAAAAAGCAAATAAACGGGAAAGAAAGAAAACGAGAGAGAAAAGAAAACGAGTAAACAAAAAAGGAAAAGAAAGCAAACGAAAAGGCAAAACTGAAATGAAGCAAGAAAGAAAAGGAGAGCAAATAAGAAAGAAAAAGGAAAAAAAAGAAAAGCAGTAAGCAATTGATGTTATTTTCCCTTTCAGAATTAAGAAAAGAAATACAACAAAGACGACGGCCACAATTTAATCTGCAAAGTACACAATTCACCTTAATCAGGATCCATTTTGACAAAAGTTCAGTCTGATTCGCACGGCGAATTTGAAAATTACTTCAATTTTTTTCCCTTGTAATTCGAATAAATCTTTCCCAAAGTAAAAGTATTAGACATTCATTCCATCCAATTTGCAGTGAAGGACCGAAAAGCATTTGTTTTACTGTAAATATATCATGTTCCACTTGGTGCTAAATACTAACAAATAGGAACAAATCATGTTGATCAATTAATAGCCGTTGTGTCAGAGGACGCTTATATATAACACAGTAAAACATTGTCAGTTGAAAATGCAAGACGTACTATTAGCTCATTGCAAATGTTTGTGCCCGTTTAGAAAATGAAAAACCAAATTTTACATACTCGCAAAAAACATTTATTAGTCAAGTACTCCATTGTTTTTAACAACTACCTCCTATCATTCTACAAGATTGTTGATGCGCATTTTCTTAGAAACTTCGCGTTTTTTTTTTATTGGAAGAAGATTCTGAGTTAGTTTTCGACTGACTGCGCAGTTCTTTGTCATTTAAATTGTTGTTTAGAGACCAGAACAAATGAAAGTCCGATGGAGCCTAGACAGGAGAATGCGGTGGGTGGTGAAGGATTTCCCATTTCAACTCTTTAAATCTCTGCAAATTCTGTTTTGCAAAATGCTGTCTTGCGTTGTCGTGGTGGAACTTAACACCCTCACGGCCGTTTTTCTTGAATAGCCGGATTGAGGTTGGTGAGTTGGCCGCAGTTATTGTTTCACCAACTGGAGAATGCTCAAAGTAAATTAAGTCGACCTAGCAGACTTTGTGAATGTGAGCGTACTAATAGATTGGCAGAAAAGACACATCATTTTGCTGCTGGAATGGCTAGATCTAACCGTAAGTTCTATGCTAACAGTTTCTTCTATCGAAGTTCTCGTTTATGTAACTCTTGTCTGGCCCCTTGTTTTCCAGTAAACTTTGATCGTCAGAGACTTTTTAAAGTAATGTCAATCGTTATTAGCAGTCTTCTTAATTTCTGATCTTTTATTGATCACTTACTTTAATAATATTTTATTTTTCTTAAATTTTCTTCCACGAGTAACCCGTTGTACCTTGTATATATATATATATATATATATATATATATATATATATATATATATATATATATATATACTTGCTTTTCTTCTCATCCCCCTTCTTCTTTTCCTTTCTTCTTCACACCTCTCCAGCCCTTTCAATCACAGCCAACGTCGTATATTTGTTTATTCATTTTAAAAAATAATATAGCGTTTATTATTTTTTAAAATAAAGCGATTGGAGGTCAATTGATAAAATCGCCTGAGCGTACTGTAATATATATATATATATATATATATATATATATATATATATATGTGTGTGTGTGTGTGTGTGTGTGTGTGTGTGTGTATAATTGTGGATATAAACTAAATACTGTATATGCAGATGAACAAAAGATATTTATTTAATTTAATTCATGGTACAAACAAAACAGTGTTCAACGTAGCTTTGAAGTATACATTAATAAATACACATATATCTACGTTTGTAGTCCAACTTAAAGTTTCATGGTTTCCCAAGTCGTCAGGTACAAATGGTAAATAGATCACTTAATACAGTTTTTTTTAAATACTTGGTCTCATGGAAGGAACCCTAAATTATAGGCATATTCAAAGCTTAAAGTTAATATAAACTTAATATATTATTCGGATGTAAATTCAAAATATAGGTTTAGGTCGGGAGGTATTGGGAAAACAAAACAGAAAACAAAACAAAACAAATGAATGATGCAAGATTAAAATTTATATGGCACATAATTTTCCGTTGGAAAAAAAAGATTGAAGTTAAAAATCATAAAGCGTAAGGAGCAAACAATATGATTAAAAAGGAAGGTGTAGGCGCGGTGAATTGTATTTTTGTTTATAAATAATTTATATATTTCAAGGGAGTAACACTGCACAGTATATAAGGCAAACGTTTAATAATATTAGGATATAAACTAAAATAATAAAAGGTGTAGATAGACAAAAAGGTAAAAGGCGAGAAAAATAAAATAAAAAAAAAATTGAAAAGAAAATAGGAACACCGAGTAGCCCGTTACATTTTAATAGACGCTGAAATGGTTAATGGGGGTAATCAATATTTAGACCAAAATATATAATGGCCAGTTGAAGTTGGATAAAATGATCTATATAGAATAAAAATATTTTAGCAGAGAGCTTTTTCTATAGATGCAAGCTATTAAAAGCTCATTAAGTTTGTCCAGTAGGTTAGGTCATTAATATTTTTGAGAATGAGTCCTTTTTCCAGCAAACACAGGCTACATCAGTCGCCGCGGCCAGAAAAGTGTGTAGCTTTGGCGACGAAATTTCAATTTACTACCGTTGTTTCGTTATTTGTTTTTATTTCCTAATAAAACTTTGAGAGTGCCGTGGCATTGAATATTTTTTATTGGTAAGACTCATTTTGTGGTGGTAATACCGAGTTTTCCAGTGGTTGGCACTGGAATCAAAATAAAATTTAGTCTTGCAATAATGTTTAATGCTAGCCTTATAAATAACGTTTTTATTCATGAATTTAAGATTTAGTAGAAGGATACAGTTTTTCGACAAATGTTTATTTAATGCTATATTGTTATGTTGTCCATATATATATATATATATATATATATATATATATATATATATATATATATATATATATATGTATGTACAAATATTTTACAACAAAATGCGGCTTAACCCTATGAAATTTATTAATGACGTCATGGATAACGGAGTCCAAAACATCCAATGGATATCCGTGTTTTGAAAGTGTCATCCTAACAAACTCACTGCAGAGAAGGCTATCAGAACATATCATAAGTGTCCTATGATTTAAAGCCTTAATCAAATTAACCTTTCGTTGTCTTGGACAAAAAGAGTCCAATGCGTATAAAGTCATGAGAAAGTACCCTTTCTAAATACAGAAGTCTCAAACTTGTTACTGATCCTATAAATGAGAACATCCAAAAAGGAAAGACAAGAATTAGACTCCTTTTCTGTGGTAAACTTAAGAGCGGGAAGGGAAGAGTTTAATTTGGTGAGAAACAAGTCGGCTTCAGCCTCATAATATTTATTATTTACTTTCTTAATGAAGTATTAATTATACATACATATATATATATATATACATATATATATATATATATATATATATATATATATATATATATATATATATAATTAATGCTTAATTGAGGAAGTATATATATATATATATATATATATATATATATATATATATATATATGCTATGATGTGCATCGAAACATTGATGCATTCATGCATCGGAAATATGTATTTTCGAATGTAATAACCTATAATAAAAAATTATCGCTCTACTTTTGTGTTGCGGTCTATATTAAATTAAATTTATGAACGTTTGAATTTATATTTGATTCCATTTGTGTATATATATATATATATATATATATATATATATATATATATATATATATATATATAATGCTTAGATGGCAAAAGAAAAATATTTGTTTATATGTCTGCACTTAGCATTATTTCATTTTTCTTGTTTAGTAGTTTTTTCTTTTTTTACCTGTCTTGGTGGTATCTTAAATATGAGCATATTTACTATGCAAGATTCGGTTCTTAACTGTATTTTTGGTGGTTGTTGGGTGAAACGTACTTTGGTGAAGAGTGAAAAATTCATTGGTGTTAGAATCAAGGATGGAGATGCTGGTGTCAAATATGAAATGTTAAGATACTTTTTTTTTTATAATTCCGTTTCATTCTTTTCTTGATAAAATTCATTTTCTCATTGAGATTTGCTTGATGATACTTAATAAGCCTGAAGATGTTTAAGCCCCCCCCCTAGATACAAGAGGATGCATGCAAGACTTAATGTCACAAAATTCAAATTCAACAAGGTTGTTTGATTCTACGTAGCATGTTCGGAAGCTACCTTATTCATTTTAAGGTAAGCAATATGGCCACTAAGATATAAGGAGATTACTTAATGTGGAAAAAGATGAGAAAAAGAAAACATTATTAAGGAGAGAGATCAATAAAAGAACAGGAATTCAAACAGAAGCAATAAGCCGAAAGATAGTTTCGCAAGCAAAAGGTGCAAGTTAAGAAACTGTTAGCATAGAATTTACGGCTATATCTAGTCATTTCAATCAAATACTGCGCTTAAATTAATAATATCCAGGTACCAAATTGTAAAGAACAATTGCCATGAAAATATTTATAGATAAGGCATAAGGTAGTTAACTTACGGTGGTGGTAATGTTACTTCATAAGTATGAGTGTCATCATAAATTCTAACCATTCTACCTTGGGATATCTATAATAATCATTGGTACGCTGAAATGTACATGATCCCTAGTAACGCATTTTTTTCATATCCTTTCCCAACTTTAAACAGCGTCCAGTCGGCTTTCATCGTTCTCCACTGCTACTTTTTTTCTCATCGGTTAATTACCCTCATTCTTTGAAAAGATAGTGGTGTGGCTTCCTGTTGTCCCATGGTTTGATATTAAGAGTTATCCTTTACTTAGACTGATTGTCATACAAGGCTAAAGAGAGGACAGTCTACTTAGTCATTTAGCCCCTAGCGGGATGATTAATAACTATCGTGAGTTTACCAAGGAAGGCTTGAAGTGCACGGTTAGAATCAACACATTTGGGATTACTTAGACATTTCTTCTTGCTAATTCAGTTCAATTTAAATGTCATATGACACAAGATTCATTTTTTTCAAATGTTCACTTGATTCAAAGTTTCATTTCACTCAAGGTAGAGGGTTACTAATTAAGACTATTGTGTTTAAGAGGAGGAAGTAAGTTCAGATTATTAGGATAGGTAGGATAGATAACAGTTGAACCCAGACTTGAAGATGTTAAGTTTCTTATGAATGGCGTCCTCTCCGGACACTGTTTCACAAAGTAGCAGTTGTTGGGAAGAAAATATCTGAGCAGAACTTCCTACTTACGAATGAAAGAGATGAGGATGATTCAGCTCTGTGTACGTGGTATGGTGGGTCTTAGCTCTAAAAGGTTTAATCTGGTGGAACTAAGTATTATAGCTCGTCTGAACATTTGCCATGGAAATAGGGATAGAGTTGTGATAGGCTTGAGACGTTTCTTCTGTGGAAAAGGGGTTGTAAAGTGGAAAATAATTCATCACCCACAAGGCCGTAAACGTTTCCGAACTCTGTTCAAGTTTGAAAGGGAAGGTTGGGCAGTTCCAGCTGAGATATGGTGGCAATGTGACATATTTTGCTTGATCTGACTTTCGCAAAGATAAAGTATGGAAGAAGGACTCAGATAATTTCTGGAGCGGTACAGGAAGTCGATCATACATTATTGGAGAAGTGCGGCTACCCGTTGATCTGGCGTCTATACTGTTTTTACGACTTTTCTTATTCTTATTCAATATTTCTTTCAATATTTTCAGACTGTTTTCAGTATTTTTTAGCATGATTTAAAATAGTCTAAAGAGATTGATAATGAAAAGAAAAAACAAAACGACTACACGCATAAATTTATAAATAATAACCATTTCAACGTCACACGAATCCAAACCCACAAGAAGAATTTGGTGCAGTTGGTTTTCTATTTGCGAATGACGTGGCTTTATTTGATCTCTAGTTATTTAACTAGCAACTGTCTACATTTCAAAGGCTACAGACTGCTTGGTCTCGGAAGAAAGTACGAAGAAGATAGTCATCTTCAATCAGACTGCGCTGCATATCGCCATACTTCAGTTTCAGGTCTTCATCTCTCTTTCTGATTTTATCAGATCTTTTTTGACATCAAGTTGGATAGCGAAATAAACAGCCAACTAATACAAACGAAGCGTGTAGCGTTGCAGCCCTGACCAGACACTAAGTTCGTTCTAAGGGTGCAGCTTCTTCCAGTCAAACGCTTGTGACTCAATGAAAGGAAAATAATTGCTTGGCCGGATAGTTTCTCACGAAATAGAACGATGAAATGAGATTGTAGCAGTCGGTAAATTTTATTCGGTTGTAACCTTCTAATCTAGACGATCTAGGGGGAGGTGAGGTAAGTCGATGTTAGTTGAGGAGGTGAAGCGTGTTGTTGCAACTGGGAGGTCTCTTGTCTCTATCGGTGTCTCTGACTTATTTCTGGTAGAGATCACTGTCTTATAGAGAACAGGCTTTCTTTGTCCTGTCAGCTCAATCTAAAATAGTAATTCATCAATTCCACTCCACTCAGCTGAAAGTCTTTGTCAGGATCGTCTGACATGGTTCTTGTTGGGTCCGCTTCGCTCATCTGATAATCGTCAAGGCAATAACTGTCGAAACAATTTCTGCAACATCTTTCAGATGTTTTCCTTTAAAAAGATATCGGCTGGCACTGATATCACTACAAGCGTTGGTTAAACTGTACAAACATGTCTAAGACAAGTATAGCTGGAAAGACACAGCATAACACTTTGTAGAGACTTAATTTCAGTCAAACTACTTATATAGAACGAGCATTCGGCATATTTTAATTATATTCAAACTTCTTAATAGATTAATCAAAAAAGGACAACTAAAACAGCTTAATGGATAACTGAAGCTTTTGAGAATAATGTAGTAGGTGGGGTATGTGTCATGCATTCCTGCCTAAATTTCTCCGATTAGAGTGTATTATTATTAGTTGAACTAGCATCCACATCCTTGAATATTACTCCCACGGAACATTAGTCGAGGAGATTAACACATATCCTCCTGCTACGATCACCGAAGTTAAGCAACATAGAGCCTGGTCAATATGTTGATGGATGACTGCTTCGGAATTATGTTTTCACCATTATTTACAATTTATTAGGCAGCTCTTCCATACACTTTGAATAAAATTGCACTACTTTTGACGCGATAAAGGTTTCGACGGATGCCTTGAACCTGGTTTTCATTAGAGTAAATTTTCCCTCTTAGAACGATTTGTATCGGAAAAGATAATAATCGATCGATACAAGTTTAGGGGATCATGTTGGGTGTGACAGAACAGAACAGTATTTAGTCACCCCCCCCCACGAGGGCAACATGTGGCACAAGGCCGGTTTAACGTGGGATCTCCGAGCCCGTGGGCTCGGCCAAAAATATGCCCATATAAACAGGTTCAGGGTCGGTTTCCCTTCCCGAAAGAGACTCCACCCTTCGGCGTAGCCTCGTTCGGGTTCCTCCCCGCCCGAAGGCAGAGAGTTCAACCGATCAGCCGGTCAGCTGGTCGTCCGACTTCAGACTGGACAGAACATACGAGTTTTAATTTTTTCCTTTGTAAATTTTTGCTGTATAGGACTAGCATTCGAGGTGATCAAGATTTTTTAATGTTAAGGAATAAAGGGCCACTCAGTGCAATAATTCGTGTTTCTTTCTGAGCTTAGTAAACACTACAATGATACGCATTGAAAAGTAAAAGGAAAAATAGTCCCTATATTATTATAGGGTCTATTTTTATGAATAGGCTATAACCGAAACTTTTTATTTAATTTTAAATACTGGAGAGCTATCATGAATTCCTCCATCCATTTATCTAATAAATTCGAATGTCTTTGTCACTGTCACACTTTTTAAATTAAAGGGACACATCACTCTAACTTTAAAATATTTCATTTTCTTTAATTTAACTAAATGCGAATGTCAGTGTGTCACTGTGTCGCACTTATTCATCTTTACTTCTAGAGGCCGTAGCCTAATATGTCATACCATTTTGGAATCAGGCTGACTCCGTGAGCAAATTAAAAGCATTACGAGTCGGATCCAGAGCCCCAATCATAACGTTTTGAATACTTAAGTTTTCATTACGGCGATTGTTTTCGGCAGCTTTGTATGTGATTTTTTGCGACGAACTTTTTTGTACGATAACAATTTTTATAACTTGGAAATAAATTTGTGAATAATTGAAATTAATTGCAAAATCCATCAAAAGTCACCCAAGATATAAAAGTAATTGTTTGTACGGAAAGTAACGACCTACTTACATCAAATTGTTTTTAAATAATTGGCAACAGAAGAATTATCGTTGAACTTTTAAAAGGTAAGCTTAAATATTAATGCAATACTTAAATGCAGCGATCAATTTTGAGTTCTTCTGTAGTTTATCGTTGCATATCGCATACAGCAGCAGTATACCTCGCAAAAAGAAATATCTGCCAACAGGACCAAATTGCTATAAAAAGAGCCAAGCATGCAGCGAGAAAAAAAAAAACTCCCGTGCAAATGAAAACCCAGATCAAACGGCAGCCAGGAGAGCTTCCAATGCTGAGAATATGCAAAGACTTAGGGACTCTCAAATTCCTGAACAAGCCTCAATTCAGAGCCATCCGCAGGAGCTAGGTTAAATGCCGCCTGATAGGGGATCTTTTAAGCTAGTTAATATATATTTTTGGACAGATAAGCCAATTATAATTCATGTGGCTTATATAAAGGTTGAAAAAAGGTTGTCGTTTTTGGTTTTATTTGAAATGTCCGTTAGGCAGTCACGACTGTCCTTTCCTTAAATAAAATGCAATTCAAAATTATGCTTTATTATTGATAAAAGCTTCACGTTGTTTAACTCTGTAGATTCACAAAAAGTAAGACGAGTCTGAATTATAATTATAAATTGAAATTTCGAAACGCTGTTCTGATGAGGCATTTCTTTAGAAAAAAAACGCCGCGAACATTAATTTAAAATTGTGATTTTCAGCAAAACATTAAAGCCTTGGCCTTTATGTTGCGAGTTCTGTCTTTTCATGCAACAGAAAATAAAACCCAGTCATTCCTGAAGTGAACATATGGCAGTGACATTTTCCCGACCAAATCATACATCTGCTGAAATAAAATAGATTGTTTTTAGGGCATTTTTTATAGAAAGTCTCGGGCAATATTAATTCAAAAATGGGCCCGAACAAAGGCACAGAGAATAAATTATTGTTTATTAATGTCTACGAATTATTCAACAGAGTTATTTGATTGTTATAAAAATTTTCCAACCCAAGGTCTCAGGAAAAATCTACCGAACCGAACATTTAATAAAACTGTAAATAAAATAAAATAAAATTGCTGAAAGGCGTTGAATATTGAGGAATGTCGCTCGTTCTTTAAAACAGGAACAAAGAAATGATATCTTTTCCTTCCAGGTACGATTTATATTCGTGCTGTTGTCTCTGATATTGTCCTTAGGCAAAACTGTTTTAAAATTTAATGAATTAGTTTACAGATAATATGTCCTGGTGTGCGACATGTGTATTTTATATTTAATATATTCAAATCTAAATTTGGAAGAATGTAGCTTTATGTCCACCGGATATATTGCGTTTAATACCGTAAAACAAATACAAACACACACACACACACACATATATATATGTTGTTTTTCATTTATTTTAATCTTATAGAGAAGTCCGCCAATACACACACACACACACACACACACACATATATATATATATATAGTTGAAAATCGGTTCTCGAACATCTCACATGTCGAACAAATCGGTTTTCGAACAGAAAATTCGAGATGAAATACCTCGGTTATCGAACAAAATATTAGTTCTCGAACAACATTGACGAACCGAATTAACACGAACGGGATAATTTCTGTGTCGACCGCCGTGTTGCCTGCATTCGTGTGTTGTGCCGTGCTTTTCTTTTACAATTTTATTGTTTTGTGACTTTTTTTTTCTCTACATTTATTCCTATTGGAAAAATAGTTTCGGTTCACGAACATTTCAGGTTACAAATGGCTTTCAAGAAAGAATTAAATTCGTGAACAGAGGTTGCACTATATATATATATATATATATATATATATATATATATATATATATATATATATATATAAATGTTGTTTTTCATTTATTTTGAACAAATTTTCAACAAATTAGCCAATGATAAAAATAAAACCTCCCAAAATGCATACATATTTCAAGAAAGGAAAAAATTGCGATGACACTCTTTACTGTAAGAGTTTATCGACAAATAGCATTACCCTCTTCCTGCCTGTAGCACCAACAAGTCTTAAAGGATGTTGTGTATTGCAGAAAACCAACTAAATTTGCGATCCTTAGAAAAGAACCTGTTGTTCTGAAAACTGAGTTTTATATTCCTTTATATTCCTTTACGGGCATTAGATTCTGAGAAATGGATAAAAATATTAAAAATTGATGGGTGTACGAATAATTCCGTCGTTGAATATATATAAAGGATGTTCCAAAATGAATGAATTAAGTTTAAGCATAGAATAATTTTTTTTCTTTTTCTTTCAGATTTAATAACTTAAGTTTTTGGCAGTTTCAACCATGGAAAGATTAGCAATCAAAAAACGTGTTAAAGTTATCGAAGTATATTACGAAAATGGACGTATAAACAGTATTTGAATGAGAAGTTCCCAGGTTGCATCATCCCTCGAAAGTCAATTGTCCACGGTAGGTAGTGTGACCTAGCGCCTTTAGATTTCTTCCTCTGGGGTCATCTCAAAAGTAAGGTCTATGCCAATAAGCCAACAACAATTTAACAGCTGAAGGATGAGATAATAAGGCATATTGATGAGATCAATGGTCAACTATACAGAGACGTCGTCAAAAATTATTGACCATCGAGTAGAAGTGCCACCGAAGCCATAGCAGACATTTGGGCGATATTAGTTTTTTCACACAACTGACATGACTTAAATAACATGACACGATAGAGAAATAAATAAATTTTCACTAATAACACTAATTTATTTTCTGCTGACTTTGATCCGTCTTAATAAAACA